CTGTTCCTACGATGCTGCTTGGCCTGCTGTGTTCATCCAGCCCTGCACCTTGTTGTCTCGGATTCTCCAGCATCTGCAGTTCCTACTATCTCTGATTCAATACTAGTGATCCCTGATCATCTGATTTTTTTTTGTAAATCATAAATTTAGCAGTGTACACAGTTTGTCAATTAACACCACAGATATCTGCCAGCATCTGTGAAGAGAAATCAGAGTTAACGTTTCAGGTCCAGTGACCCTTCCTCAGAATTGATGGTAGGTAGGAAAATGTTGGTTTTTATGCAGATGATAGGGTTGGGGGAGGGGGTAAGGAGAAACAATAGGTGGGGTTAGAGCCCAAAGAGAGAGAAGAACTGTTGGACAGACAAAGGAGTGGATAATGATCTGGCTAGGAGGGTGAATAACTATTAATGGAGACTGTTAGTGATTAACAATAGGTAGTGTGTAATGCCAGACTATGTGATAACAAGGCCTCGTTGTGGGGTTGGGGTCTAGGACATGGGAAAGTTCAGGCCCTAACATTATTGAACTTGATATTGAGTCTGGAGGGCTACAGGCTCCTAAGCAGAAAATGAGGTGTTGCTCTTCCAGCTTGTGCTGAGCTTCATGGAGCACTGCAACAAGCCTGAGACAGAGATACTGGCCAGGGAACAGGGTGGTGTGTTAAAGTGGCAGGCAACTGGAAGCTCAGGGTCATTTTTGCAGCCAGAACTTAGGTGTTCTGCGAAGCAGTCACTCAGTCTATGCTTCTTTTCCCCAATATAGAGGAGACCACATTGTGAGCAGTGAATGCAGTAGACCAGATTGTGAGAAGTGCAGATAAAGTGCTGGTTCACCTGGAAGGTATGTTTGGGCTCTTGGATACCGGGGAGGGACGAGGTAAATGGGCAGACATTATACGTTTGGTGACTGCAGAGGAAAGTGCCGTGGGGCTGTGGGGTGTGTTGGGAGTGAAGGAACAGTGGACCAGGGGGTCCCGGAGGGAACGGTCCCTGCTGAAGACGGACAAGGGAGGGGAGGGGAATATGTGTCTTGTGGTGGAATCCTGCTGGAGGTGGCGGAAATGGTGCCTGATGATCTTCTGAAATGTGGATGCTGGTGGGATGGTAGGTAAGGGCAAGGGGAACCCTATCGCTGTTGCGGAAAGGAAAAGAGGGTGTGAG